TCCGTGCGTCCGGAAAACATTCGGAAACGGTCACGTTTTGGAACATTTTCCGGACGCACAAATTCCAGACATTTTCTTGACACTCTAGAATTTGTCCGGAATTTGTCCAGAATCGAGCGTCCGGAAAATGTTCCAAAACATGACCGTTTCCGAATGTTTTCCGGACGCACGGAAAATTTCCGGACATTTTCCATACTTTTCAGGACAAATTCCGAATTTTCTTTTTTTATAGGGCTTCGTCTCCCATCACTCCTCTTCGTCTCCCATTACTCCTCTTCGTCTCCCATCACTCCTCTTCGTCTCTATCACTTCTTTTCGTCTCCCATCACTCCTCTTCATCTTCCCACCACTTCTTTTCGTCTCCCATCACTCTTTTCATCATCCATCATATCCTATTTCTCCTTTTTGTTTTCTATCACTTCTCATTACTCTTTTTACTCCCTTTCTTCCTCTATTACTTTCCATTACTCCATTGTTATTTCATTTTTTTATTAGCATCTTTCTCCTTGATCATTGTAATTTACTTATCTTTTTTTATTTAATGTTATTATTTTTTATTTGTATCAATTCATTAAAAATAAATACAGTAAATTTTTTCTTTAAAATCGAAAATGTGGGACTTAAATTTTAATATTTGCAAATAAAATCTCATTAAATAAGATTATTTTGAATAAATATGTTTGCAAAAAAAATTTTAAAAAAAATATCTTCGCAATAAAATTTTAAGTTTAGCCGATCAAAAATTAGCTAAGTTAAAAAATCAAACATCAGCCGGTTAATAAATATTGTACATCATGTGACATATTTGGAAAAACCCAGATGATATTTAGTACTTTATATAACCCATTTTGAGATACAAAAGGGTTGAGGCGCCACAAGGCATTTTATAAATCAAAGTTTATATTAGTAAGGGGAGTAACGTAAAGTAAATATAATTGACTTTACGTTCCGTGCCTTATATAAGGAGAGACTGGAGAGTAACGTAAATTGGCCCAAAATAGTAATTTTATGTTACTTACTTAGCCAATTTCCGTTACTTACTTGCTACCTACCGGAATTTTTTAACCAAGATTTAATAATTTTTTTTCAATTTTTTTTAAGACTGAATTTTTAATATTTTCATCCTGCTTTTTTTCTCTATATAATCTATACTAATACTGTGTTTTTTTTGTGTAATTTATTTATTTATTTTTATACATATTTTATCATCGTCGTCTCTAGATCGGTGATCGGATCTATTGGATTGCTGTGTACATGATTTTTTATTTTCAATAATTTTTTTCTTAATATTTACTAATTTATTTTTTCTATTTTTTCGATAATAAATACTTTTTATTGAATAAATAAATATCCTATGTGTGATTTTTTAGTTAGATTAAGTGTATTTTTTTTTACTTAGAAAATAAAAAACTTGCTAATATTATATAAAATCTAATTCATATAAATATAAAACAAAAATTCTATTGTTATATTGATTTAAACTCATCCTGTTGCAACGCAACAGGCTACAGTTAGTTTTAACTAAATAATTCAAACATTAAAATTATTGACAAAAAAAAAAAAATGTATAGAATACTAAATCATCTCTAAACAATTTCTTCTATAGTGACATTGTTAAGATTAATAATAAAGATTTTAGCGCAAATTGGTTTTCTAAAATTTCCAATTTGTATGGTACACTTTTTTAAAGCTTCCGTGTCAAATTCGTGAATGTTGCTAAAATGTGTTCGTAATAGTTTAATTAGTGATCCGTGAGTCAACTGATACCCGATTTTCATTCCTTAAATAATGCTCTTTATGTGAACCCATTCAATACCAACATATATTAATACATAATATTTATCTAAAGTTTCAATAGTTTGTTTTTTACAATATTTTTTCACGATTTTTTACTTTATTTTACGCCACGCCAGATTCCCATTTTCTGCAGATCGTCTGCAGTTGACTCGTTAAATGTTCCTTAACAATAGCTTCTTGTATTTTAGTATCACATAATTTCATATTATAAACATATTGTATAATCATAATTGACAGAAAGTTTTGATTAAATAGTCAAAATTGTAAATTTTAGTATGTATTAGTATGTAAGGTAACGAAAACAAACCAGTTTAAAGTATTTTATGCATCTTATTCTCTGATTAACATTACTAGTATTAACAGTTGTCTATTATTAGCTGCAGTGCCGCGGTATTGCATGAGAAGTTAAAAAAAAAATAATTAATAATGTTTTAATGATAAGGTTTAATTACATATGTTGACTAGAGAAGGCTAATTAGACGTGAATGTGTCACCACCGGTAATAATTTTTAAAGAATTAAATTAAAAATTAGAAGTTTCTTATGTTTTGATTTTATCGTTATGCTTTTTTAAATAGAAATAGATGTAGGTTGAGCTATATGGTTTAGAATGTTTTATAATGATTATTTTTGGAAGGTATAATTATAAATAAATACCTTTAAATATCGCTATATTTAACCAAATAAACTTTTTTTTTATTTTACAATTATAATTACATAATTGTGGATTTAATAATAAATTTTTACACCACGGGACTGGACATCAAAAAATAATGATAACAAAATTTTTCTTCAATATAAAATTATTACTAATGCTTTTATAATTAGAATTTTCTATTGTTTGATTTGCTCGAATTGACCAACCGAGATGGGCCTATTACACTTGTTGTGACTGAAATTGAAATTTAACTGAATTTAAAATTCAGATATGGGAATTTCTGGAAAAGTTGACTGAATTTTAAATTCAGACATTGGAATTTTATCTGAAATTAAAATTCAGACATCTTAATTTCAGATAACCTTGTAATTGAATTTCTAATTTTATCTGAATTTTAATTTTTTTTTTTTTAATTTCAGTTAACCTTTTATCTGAAATTCTAATTTTATCTGAATTTGAAATTCAGATATTTTAATTTCAGATAACTTTGTATTTGAAATTCCAATTTTATCTGAATTTGAAATTTAGACATTTTAATTTCAGTTAACCTCGTATCTGAAATCCCAATTTAACTGAAATTTATTGAAGATCATATCTGAATTTAAATTTCAATCGGCTTTCCCAGAAATTCCCGTATCTGAATTTTAAATTCAGTCAAATTTCAATTTCAGTTACAACACTATCGTCAAAATTCGGATCATTGTAACATGCTGGTGTTAATTACGCAAATTATAGCCTTTAATACTTTATAATAAAAATNTTTTTTTTTTTTTTTTTTAAAAAAAAAAACGGCTGATTCTTTTGAACTTTTTTTTTAAAAATGCTTTTTAAATAATTTTTAATAAACAAGTGTTTTTCTTATAAATAAATCTTAGATTAACTGGCCGATCTTGTTTTTAAAAAATATTTTTTCTTCATTACAAATTATAAAAAATGGCCTTTTAATTGACCAATGATTAAATTATAATATATTCATTTTCATTATTTCATTCTTACATACCGGTTGCATAAGATATTTGTTAACAATATTTATTACTCATTAAAACTCAAGCTATCCAATTTGTTACAATTTGTATTACATTTTAAACTTTCAGATGATAATGAAAATTCAGTTTTTTATATTATTGTTACACAATTTTTAAAAAATCTATATCGCAAAATTAAACAAATTTATCAGTAATATCAATTTTGAAGCTTTTGTTACAAATTTATCACCTGGTCAGTTAAAAAATATTATTATTGCAAATGAATTCAACATCCGGTCAAAAGCTTTAGTGCTGCCTGAACCTAGGTCAGTTGTTTGCTTAATTTTAAGCAAAGAAATATAATAAAAGAAAAATGCCAACAAAACAAATTTACTAATTGTAACCGGTCAATCGGTTTAAATCGAGATAAATATAATCAAATTATATTCACAAAAAAGTAATACTAGCAGGTTCAAACCAAGCCAAGTCATATATTTAAATTCAGGTCAGACTGGAGGCCTCTAGTTTAAGTATAAATAACCTGATACCAAATTTAATTTATTTAACAGTTAATAATTTATTTTCATTATTGTATAATTTATATCTTAATAGGAAAAAAAGCAACATTTATCACACAAAAATAATATACACATTCAGATCTTTATACAATTATACGAACTTAAACTTAATTAATTTACCTTCTTTTAGTGGTGATAATTCTATTCAGTTTATTGCGATTATAAAAAAGCTATTTTTAGATCATTCTTTTTTTTTAGAATAAAAAACAGTAGTTTTACAGAATGTACGACACCAAAAGTGTGATGATTCGATTTTATGCAGCATTTCAAATTTAATAATATTTTTGGCTCATCATACTGTACAGATTTATATATCAAAGTGCATGGACTAAAAAAATCAATCATATGAAAGAAATAAACCATGACATTATTGTGATTATTTTTGTTCTAAAGATTATTTTGTTAATTAAATATATGTAAAGCCTATAAAAAAAACGTATAAAAATGATATTTAAAAATTTTGGTATACGAGAAATATAAGAACTCTTTTCTTTGAATACCTTTTTGGTCGTTTATAAAATTTCTAAGCCACACCGATCAAACAATTAAAAATAAATTGCCGTTTTCTCGATCATAATCACGTGTTAATAACCAATACAAATGCACAATTTGTGAAAGATCATAAATCTGAAGAAAAAAAATTGATATTTATTTTTACTGTTCAAATTTTTTTTCGACGCAAATTTACAGGAGTAATTACGTCCGCAAATGACGTTAAACTGTGACCTTTGAAAATTAGAATATCAAATTTAGGAACCAATGAATGGAATTTGTAGATCACTGTGATTGTGAACAATGGTAATAAGATCGACATGATTATCACAAAGGGGAAGTGATTGTGACAAAGGAATTGTAGATCAAATGATACAATGAACTTCGGAACTGCGTACTGCGTAATAATGATCATTGTGACAATGACATCGGAATTTCAAGAATTAGAGATTACATAATCATCCGATATATATAGTGTAGGTGTAGTTATGGGCTAATTCAGCCATAACTTATGGCTGAATTATCATCAGGAAAACCACCTTTTTACAATAAAAAACATGATTTAAGTTTAACATTAGCCATATGTAATGGACTCAGACCAGAATTTGGAAAAGGAACTCCTGAATTTTATAAGAAATTAGCTTATAAATGCATGGATGCTAATCCAAATGAAAGACCAACAACCAAAGAATTAAGAAATATATTTGATTTTTGGGATGTTTCTATTGGAGGTAGTAGTTATGGTAAAGTAGAAAAATTTGGTTATAAAAGAAAAGAAATTAAAGCAGCATTTGAAGAAGTTGATAAGAAAATACCAAACATCTCAACTTCGTATGAAAAGAATTCTGATGCTGTATATACTAGTAGAGCGTTTATATTTGGCAATGTATTACCAAAACCCCATTATTACTTCATATGTCAATAATGAAGGTATTTTATATTTTATTTAAAAATTTTATTTTTACTTAAATAATTATTAACTTTATTAACTTTATTGTTTCAATAGTTTGTGGCTCTCAATTAATCGACTGGAAGTATCTAATTCAATACAATTAAGAGGTACTATAGATATTGACGATGAAAGTAAGGTTGATGATTTTGTGAATTAAATATTATTTATTTATAAGCTATAGTAGAATAATTGGTAGCTTCCTCTATTTTACTATTTAGCTCTTAAAAACTCTAATAAAGATACTAAAATACATAAGAATCATTGATTTAAGTTGGTCGAATGTTCTGAACATTATTGCAAATAATACGGTACATAAATATTTAAAAGCGATATAATAATTTTTTAAAAAATTATGAATCAAATGCGTGAGTAATATTTTAAATAAATGAAGTATAATTCTTGCATCAAATTTTAAGATTTATCATTGAGAAGGTCAGCACCAAATGAATATTCAGAAAACCACGCAAAGGCGAAGAATTTTTCTAAAATAGATTTATTTTCCCAGTTATTCTTAAATTTCCAGTTGATTTTCCAATATCACTAATGTCGATTCCATTACTACTTTGCTGATATTCCTACGATTAGCCCCACAAAAGACGTATCCCAATTGTAATTGGAAAATATATCCTATGGTAGTTGAAGAAAAACATACCATCAAAATTATAAATGAAACTCTAAATGTTATTAACTCAAATTCAATGGTTTCCTCTTTTTTTTTGATTAATGTATAAAGGATAATTTTGTCCATGCGCTGAAATACTGTATACTATAATAAGAAAATTTTTTATGAGTTACAATTATAATGTACATGCCGCTGCGGATAATGGATTATATTATAAAAAATTGATGTAAGACTTCTTTGTAAAGAATATATTCATTTAACACGTATGCATATAACCGAATTTTGTTCATATATTTCATTTTTAAGCAGCACAGTTTCATGTGTAAGTGGTGCAAAAAAATGGAAATTAACCATTAATTTTAATTTTTTGCACAAAAATAGAAATTTTATTTTACATTCAGGATTCGAAATTATGTATCACGCGTATCACGTGATTTAATACTAATGTTTGATCTAACTTTTTTTTTTTTTAACAAAACTTTTCTTTCATTTTCCCCCCTCTCTTTCTTTTTCTTTTTCTTTTTTTTTCGTTCTTCCCCTTTTACCTGTCTTTTATTTTCCTTTCCTCTCCCATTTTTTCCTTTTTCCTTTTTTTGTTCTCTCCCTCTCTTTTTATTCCTCTCTTCCTCTTTTCATCCTTCACTTTTACCTAAATTAACCACTTTTCTTAACGTGAAAAAATTATAGATAGGTACATTTTAGTTTTAGCGATCTCTTATGAAATTGTAAGTAAATTTGGGGGTTTTAATTTATTTTTTTCGTCTTTAGTACTAATTCATTTTTTTTAGAGTTTGTCTCATTTTGGCCTTTAAGCGTGTTGGAATTTAGTGGGTAGGTTATTAGGTTTCCTTATTTTTTTTTTATTTTTACAGTAACGAAATATTTATTAACAGTTTGAACTTTCTTTTTTAGACAGTCTAGACACATGGGGATTTGGTGAAAAATCAGCTTTACTACTTAGCCTTAGATATATATCCTAGTCACCTAACCCTTATATTCACAGGAAATATCAAGAAGTTTTTGAAAAGATTATGAAACAAAGATAAGAAGAAACAGGATGTGGGATTTTGGATAGTCGGCTAAAATACTACTTGACTCAGGAATTTTTTTCTAGATGAGTTTGAAGGTGGGAACTTGAGCATTTTTTTTTTAAACCATTTTTTTTAATGAAACACTTACAAGCGTTTTATTTCTTCTTTTTTTATATGGAAAAAGGCAGCGACGAAGACGCCGCATATCAACCTAATCTAGTTAAACAGTAATTAAGGGATATATTCATAATATAATATAACCGATTCCCTACAATAAAATAATATAAAAAAACGTTTATTGAAAACATTTTCCGCATTAACCTTATTTACTGTAATCGATAAGCGATCAATTTATACTTATCAGCCTTAGTATGATAAGTCAATATAAAAAAGGACTAGAATATTAAAAAAATATATTATTCATAAGAATAGAAACTGAGATTTATTCGATTATCGCGAAATTTGTAGTCTTTATTTAAAATGAGTAGTAATTCCCTCAATAATACAATTGAATTATCTATATGTTTATATCTTTAATTACTCCTTCAATCTTATATTTATCGACCAGTTTCATATATGAATCAGTTTGATAAATATAATACTCAAATAAATGAATGGAAATTGCTTGTCGTCCTTTCCATTTTTCAAAGAATGCCTCTAAAGTTTCTAAAGAAAACCTAATACCATGAGGAATCCCTATTTTTCTTAGATTTGTTGATGCTTCTTTAATTAACACATTTGATAAGTAATCCCCATATTCTAAATCTTTCCCCTTTTCATATTTTTCTTTAAAATATAAAGATCGTAAATTCTGACATTTTTTAAGTAATATTTCAAATTCAATAAAGTAATTTTCCAATAATGGAAACATAGGAATTGTTAAATATTCAATTAAAAAACAATTTTCATAAATTGTACGAATAAAATTAAGAGAATCATCAATAAAAGAATCTTTTTCTACGCAAAAATGATTGATCCTTAATTCTCTAAGAAATAAGCTATTTTTAATTATGTAATTAACTTGGTAAATATATATAAAATCTATTTCTATAAACTCAAGGTTACGATAAGCCATCATTTCCAATTTTTTATTAAAATCATCATTATTTGACAATAGAGGAGAACTGATTTTCAATATTTTTATATTATGAAGTCCTAGGAGTGCGTCTTGTAGAAATGTATAATCACCATCATCATGGTAATTATCTAATGAATTATCAAACTGAAAATGATTAAGAGTATTTACATGCTTCTTTAATGCATTAAAAATTTCTGTATAAGGATCTTCCAACATTTCCCAATAATACATGTCATTTTCTACTTCAAATTCATCTACCCATTCAAAATATTTCAAATTTTTTTGAAATTCGATTAATCTAGTAGTTCCAGGATTAGCTTTTAAGTTTTTATTAATAATGATGATTCTTTGTATTTGTTGACAGATATGTGCTAATCTGTAAAAATACTTGGGATTAATCAATGTGTGACACGTTAATTCACAAAGTGATTCAAGGCGGAACTTTGCTTCTGGAAAGTGTAGTATATCATAGGTGCCACATATATTTAAATACTTTATTTCTGGACATTTCTTCATCAAGAAACTATAAATTTCCTCTTGTAAAAGAAATCGATTATATTCTAATGATCCAATGGAAATTATAACATCTATAATTTCTATATTAATGCTCCTACAGAAAGACAAATAATCAAATGCAAGTGATTGACCTGGAATGTTGAATTTTTTCTTTGTGAAGAATTCTTTAATATCATTGGACAAGTAAGAAGTAAGAATATAATATAAAGAATTTTTATTATAATAATTAATAGAATAGTGCCAGGGGTTCCTCCATAAAATTGGAATCATGGTTTCACACCAAACTCTATTAACCATTAAGCATGAAAAGAGGAATTTTGGATTATCTCGTAATTCCTCAAATATTAAGAAAAGAATATCTTTATTAAGTTTGGACATTTTTCTTTGAAAAAAAAAAAAAAAAAAGGGGGGGGGAAATAAACAAATAGAATACATATTTATATAAATTCCGGTGTACGACCATTATGTTGATCGACAATGTTTCACCGATGTAAAAAACCGCGTTAAAAATTGTTAGTTTAGATGTGATTTTCATAAAAAAAATGTTTCGATACTTGTTATGTGAATTATTTTGCATACCATCAAATAACTAAGGATTATAATTTTATTTTGATGTTAACTAACTTATAAATATTGATTATACGTTAAATTATTAAGAAACTTATAAGTTTAAACAAGTTGTTATTGTACAATCTAAATTATTTATTATAAATAAAGAACGTGTGCACAATATTTACGTCGCTTCTTGTCATACTTTCATGAGGTTAAAGAACTTGTTTTAATAAATTCATGTATAACGAATGGAATAATCTATCGTGGTTTATGACATAAATTTACGTTAAGTTACTTAATTTTAAATCAATATACGATAGTAAATACATTTACTAATTTGAATAAATTTATTAAAATTATTTAAATTACAAACTAAGAATTTTGTAAAACATTTACTACTCTAGCCTTAGTGTTTAAATAACCCAAAATAAATAAATAGATAGATAAATAAATAATTGATAATAATTTAAAATATAACAAAACATTAATAAATGATTCAAAATCCATCTAAAGTTAAAAAATAAAAAATTATTAATTAATTATTTGCTTTAAAAAGAAATTTAATTTATTTAAGAACTTACCATCAGGAATTTCCAGTTCATCTTGTTCTTCCGAATGAAGATTTGGATTATTATATACTTCGTCTTCATCTATAAGAAAATAAACATACTTAAAATAGTATAAAAATTGTTTGTTATTACGTAAAATTTTCACCTACCATCGACATGTTGTTGAGTTATTACCTTTTCATCATCTAAATTTTAAATAAAGTCGCATTTAATAAATAAATTTGATAAAATGGATGATTTTATTTTGTTAGTTATTTACTTACTATTTGATTTTATTTGCAACTTTTTAAATAATTTAGATAATTTTTTATTACTATCTAAAAATTAAGATATTAGATTTAATATATAAATCAATCTCGATTTGGCAATAATTAAAATACATTACCTCTAAAAATAGAAATTACTTTTGATGATTTGCTATTTCGCTTATTTGATTTATTAAAATTATTAACTAAAATAAATAACAATTATTAAACTTCATTATGTAATAATCCAACGCTGTAATGTTAATAATTACTTACTATTGTTAGGAATGTTAAAATCATACAATTTACTATGAAACACTATAAGTAGTAAATTAAAGTATTAAGTATTTTAAAAACTGCATTATTATAAAAAATTGTAGAAATCATTATTTATATGGTTATACCTTCTTGTTCTTCTATTATAATATAAATTCAAAAAAAAGATAATATTAATAATATATTTTAAAATAAATACATTCATTAATAAATATTATACACTTATACCTTCTGTTGCATTTCTTGGTTCAGGTAGATTTCCAAAGTTGTGAATTTTACT